TGGTACGGAACGCTGTCTTGTGGACGGAGTTGTCTGCCATCTTGATCTGCCAGTAGCTCGATCGTAGGTCCAGCTTCGAAAATACTGTTGCTCCGCGCAGTTGATCGAGTAGGTCGTCTATGCGCGGTATGGGATATTTGTTTTTGACTGTCTATTTGTTCAGTGCGCGGTAGTCGATGCACATCCGTAGACTGCCGTCTGGTTTTGGAGTGAAGAGAACTGGTGCGCCGTAGGGAGAGGTGGATGGGCGGATCAGTTGTCTGTCCAGTAGATACTCTATCTGTTTTTTCATGTCTGTCAGTTCAGTCGGACTCAGTCGGTATGGTGCACGTGAGACGGGTTTCGCACCTGGTTCCTCCACGATCTCGTGCTCGTGGGTGCGTGCTGGAGGTACGCCTGCAGGTAGGTCGTCGGGCATTATATCCTTGTACTGCTCCAAGACCTCTTTCACTGCTGCAGGTAGCTCGGAACTCGGCTTCTCCTCTGCTGCTGCCATAACCAGTGCTAGGTAACCCGTGTTACTCTTGTTCACCGTCTGTTGGAACCGTGCCAGTGTCGTTTCAGGTACGTCCCCTGTATCCGTCCAGCTTCGCAGCTCCACCCGTTTCCCGTTGTTGTAGATGCACACCTTGCTGTTGACCCAATCGATCTCGGGGTTGAACTGCTTCAGGAAATCTCGCCCCAAGATAAAATCTAATCCTTTGATGTTGGTGACTGGTAGCTTTGGCTTCCACCTCAACGCACCTATATGCAGTTGCAGTGATGCTTCGCCGTGGATAGGAAGCTTCGTACCGTCCACCATGGTTGCTGAAAACTGGGTCTCTTCCGCCTTCTCTCCAATTTTCTCCAATGCTCCGCGGTCACACACCGAGTGAGATGCACCGCTGTCCACCAATGCCTGGAGGCGTCGCCCATTGCATAACACCTCGAGGAGTAGTGGTTTCTGCTGTGCTGAGTAGCCAAAGAGGGTCTCGTTAACAGGATCATAGGGCACATCAAACTTAATACCTTCCCTTTTTCCTATACCTGACTCAGCGCTTTCCAACTTCACCTGGGGGGTAGGAGGATTTTTCCGAGGCTTGTATAATTTTTCCTGAGCCTGGATGTCTCCTCTAAGCCTTGGCAGTTGTGTAGGCTTTACCTGTGGGCGACGGGGAGCCTTAACAATGTGCTGCGGGGAGAGAATATTAACTCCACGGAACGCACGACCCTTCTCTACGCTCCGTAGTATTTTGCCCAACTTCTCAGGTACCTGAATAATTTCTAAAGGCTTTTTCTTGGCCTCTAGACCTCCCCTGAATTTTTTGAAGGCTTGTAAACCACGAGAAGCAATATTCTTCGTTAGAGCATCTTTATAGGATACTTTTAACGAATTCTTACTTTCGTGGGTGTTCGGCTGGAGTTTCCCGGTCAGTGCAGAGTCTTTTTTTCGCGGAGCCTCCATTCGCCTCGGTGATTTCCCCTGATGTCGGCCGGTCGTGACGTTTTAAATTCGCGCAATCTTTTTCTCCTTTTTTCACCCGCTCCGAAGTCGCCACGTCGTCGCCTTTTCCTGCTTTTCGGATCTTTACGCGATCGCCAGGTCGATCCGCGGCTACTGGCGATTCCCGTTTTTTGACTTCGGGGGTGCTCCACTGTTTCCGTCCCGGAGTGCCGCACGTGCTTTCTTCATTTTGTAGCACGACAAAAACTGATGTCCTGCTGCGCCGCAAAATTCGCATTTTGTCGGCTGCTGCTTCGCGTCGTATTTGTCGATATCCATCGGTTCGGTGAACGTAGGGGGTGCCGATCGCTCCGTGCCGAATGTACGGTTCGGCGTGAAGCGTCGTGTTTCGGGTTGACTTCGAGTCAGCGCGTCGTATCGCTCGGCAGCACGCACGATGTCTCTGTAGCTGTTGTAATTCGCCGCAATCACCTGCCGCCGAATCTCCATTTTTAATCCTTCGGTGTACGCCTGGATTTTTTCGCCTTCGGTCAGGTCGGTGATGCGGTTGAACAGTAACTCCATCTGCTGCGTGTACTGTGTTACACTACTGTATTGCTTGTGTCAGTGTATCTGCTGCCGCGCCATGTAGGTTGTATTAATTGGTTCGAAACGCTCGATTAAATCTGCCCGAAACTGCTGCCACGTTTTCTCCCCGCGGGCTACGTCGGTGTAGTAAATCCATTCGAGAGCCGGTCCACGTAACAGTGTCGCTGCGAGCCGAATCCTTGTTGCGTCGTGTTGCGGGGTCGAACAGCCAATGGCCTCGAAGTAAATTTCGAGGGTGGCCACGAATCGCCGGACGTCGGATCCCTTCGCGCTTGGATCGAACGCCTCCGGGAGCCTCGGTCGTGCTGCTTCGAGGTTCGGCGACAGTGGTGCCATTGGTCCGTGAAATGTCGGTGTCGCCACTACTGCTGGAGTTGTCGGTGCTGTAGTCGCTGTGGTCGCTGCTGCTGCGGTGGCGAACCCTGGTTGGCTTGTCAGAAAAGCCTCGAGTCGACGAAGCGTCGCCTGCGTCTGCTCCATATCGGTGCGGAGGCTCGCGATGTCGCTCGTAGTCGCGTAGTTGTCGTCTTGGCCCTCCATTTGGTGATTTACAGGAAGATGCGCGACGAAAATAATCGAATTCTAGGTGCTAGTCGACTTACTGCGAGTCAAATTGACTGTAGAATCGACGAGCGCGAATTCTGTAGGATGCGTAAATCTCCCTTAGGCGAAATTCGCGTCCGATCTCGGCCGTTGAGGAGAAAATCGATCCGACGCTCCAAATTCCAACTTTTTTGGGCGAAATTCTCTGGGCCGTTGAGATGAAACTCGATCAAACGGTCGAAACTCCAACCTTTCCACCAGTAAATCTGAGGGGTGTTCGAAAACCGAATCGAGGGGGACTTAGAAAAATTGCGCGGAACTGGTTTTACATACCCGTATCGGCGCTTTCGTCGTCGCCCCCGCGGTTTTTAAAGGCCGGAACTAAGCGGTTGAAGACCTCGCGTGTAAACCCGCTCTGATACCAAGTGTGAGGATCTGGGATCGAGCTCAGAAAAGAGAATGAGAATTGAGTCGAATTGAATTGAATTGAATGTCCACCTGGGTACAACACGAGGCTATATATAGGCTCGACACAAGGCCCCGTAACCAGGTGTTACGCGAAGGTTCCGCGGGTCGCGAAGCGTCCCGAACAGATCCTTACCGAATTCGGTAGAAGGCAATTCGGTGGCAACCGAAAAGCCAGAATTCGGTGCACGCAACCTAGCTCGGTGCTATAACTATAATAAAATATAGGAAAGCACCTAGCCTAGGAAATCAAGCAATTCATGCATGCATATGATTATCCTATGCTAGAAATAGCATGATAAAGTAGAGGCAAGCAAGCATAGCTGGCATAAGCCGTCGTACTCTCACAAACGCTACCATTCAGGATGTCTGGGTTGATACCTTTATTCCTGGAGGGCAGCGTGTGGCGATCTGTACGTGCTCCCGGACTGGCCGTCACCTTGCTACGTTCACTCGACGGCCTGATTCTAGTCTGTACACACTTACCGCTGCGTCTGCACAAGTGGCTGAGTCACGTCAGGTGGCTACGTCAAGCCAGGTGTCTGCGTTTGGTCAGCTTGCAGCGTCTTGCTCATGTCGGGTACTCTCCCACCAGACTCTCCTCTAGCACCACCGCCTCGGTCACCCGTCACTGCCGTGTCTCCGCAGCATGCACTCCCGTCTCCTTGTCTCTGGGCTTCCTAGGTCCCTGCCCTCCCTCCCACGCTCGCTTGCACCGCCCTACCTTCCCTTCGTCTAGGGGCGGCAGTGCACCGCTCCTCACTCCTCCGAGTTTCCTCCGACTACTGCTCCTCTGCAGACTCTCCATATAAACGTTGGTGGAACGGACCAGGAGCGCTACTTCCTGCTGGTTGTTGACGACTACACATGCTACACCGTTGTCTTCCCCTTGTGGCGCAAGGCAGATGTCAATGGTGTTTTGATCCCCTGGATCCGTGCTACTCATCGCTAGCTGTGCGAGCGATTTCGTCGGGACTTGCCAGTCCTGCGTCTGCACTCTAACAAGGGCGGTGAGTTCTCTTCTGGCCTCCTTGAGGAACTGTGTCAGGACGAGGGCATCTGCCAGACGTTCACGCTTCCAGCCTCTCCTCAGCAGAATGGGATTGCTGAGCGTCGCTTTGGCTTGATCATGGAGGTTGCTCGTACCTCCATGATCCATGCGGCTGCTTCCCATTTTCTGTGGCCGTTTGCGGTCCGATACGCTGCGCATCAGCTCAACCTCTGGCCCCGTGTCTCTGAGCCTGAGACCTCGCCCACCCTCCGGTGGACGGGGAAGGTTGGCGATGCGTCGGTGTTTCGGGTCTGGGGAGCGCTCTCCCTTGTTCGCGATGCCAAAGCGAGAAAGCTCTCCTCTCGCACTCTCCGCTCCGTCTTCCTTGGCTTCCCCACCGACGCCCCGCCGTGGCAGTTCTACTACCTGCGCAACCGTCGGGTGTTCTCCTCCCATGACGTCACCTTTGATGAGTCAGACCGTTTCTACAGGCTACACCCGTACGCGTCCCACTCGGTCCCCCTAGCGCCTCTCTTCCTTGTACCAGTCCCCCCCCCCGGTAGACCCCCTCCCCCCACAGAGTCCTACTCCCTCAGGTGTGTCTCAGATAGACCCACCCCCTTTGGTTGAGCCTTTGGAGATCTCTTTTGACTCCTCTGGCCGCACTAAGGGGGGTGATTCTCGCCGCTGACGACACGGCGACCACTCGCCGCTCTCCATGCTTGGAGACTCCCCCTGGTTTTCCGCCTCGGCCGTCTTCGCCACCTTCACAGCCTGCTGCCGTGGACTTTGGAGCTGAGATTGCTGGTGCTGAGTCAAATGGTGAGGGTTCTAGGGGTGTTGCAACTGGGGGTGCTGATTCTGGGGGTGCTGCGAGTCCTTGTGGCGGTGGAGTTGTGGGTGACCCGGCTGGAGGTACTGCTGGTGCTGGAGGTACTGGAGGTACTGCTGGAGATGCTAGAGGTACTGATGGAGGTGCTGCTATTGCTGGAGGTACTAGAGGTACTGCTGGTGCTGGAGGTGCTGGAGGTACTGCTGGAGGTGCTGCTGGTCCTGGAGGTACTAGAGGTGCTGCTGGTGCTGGAGGTGCTGGAGCTGCTAATCCTGGAGGTCCTGGAGGTGCTGCTAGTGCTGGAGGTGTCGGAGCTCCTAGTCCTGGAGGTGCTACTAGTGCTGGAGATGCTGGAGCTGCTAGTCCTGGAGGTCCAACTGGTGCTGGAGGTGCTTGTGCTGCTGGTGCTGGAGGCGCTGGGGCTAGAGGTACTGGAGGTGCTAGAGCTGCTGGTCCTGGAGGTGCTCGTACTGGAGGTACTGGAGCTGCCGGAGCTGGTGGTGCTTCTGCTGTTGGAGGTGCTACTGGTGCTGGAGGCGCTGGAGCTGGAGGTACTAGAGGTGCTGGAGCTGCCGGAGCAGGTGGTGGTGGTGGTGTTGGAGGTGCTGGAGGTGCTATTGGAGCTGCTAGCACTGGAGGTGCTGGAGGTACTGCTGGTGCTGGAGGCGCTGGAGCTGGAGGTACTAGAGGTACTGGAGGTGCTGGAGCTGCTGGTCCTGGAGGTGCTCGTACTAGAGGTGCTGGAGCTGCCGGAGCAGGTGGTGCTGCTGGTGCTGGAGGTGCTAGAGATGCGACTGGAGCTGCTGGTGCTGGAGGTGCTCGAGCTGCTGGTACTGGCCTGCGCCGACTGTTTTTCTACCTGCAGTGGTAGTCGTCCCTGCCGCCGCATGACTCGGCCCTTCGCCAGGTTCTTAGTCTTCGTTTCCACTGGCCTCACTCCACCTATCCTGTGTCCACCGACAGACCAGTCTCAGCCACAACTACTGCCTGTCTCCCCGCTGCCTGCTCCTGCTCCTCACACTGAGGTGACTGAGTCCCTGACTGAGCGTCGTGAGCCTGAGACTTGTGCTTCCACAAATGTTCGTGCTCGTCGTGTCGCCCGTCCACGTCCTCCTGCTGTCTCAGGCACTCACGGTATGGCACTTCGTCCTTCTGTTCCACAGCATTTTGTTCTGCCAGAGCCTCCCGCGTCCTCTCTTCCACACGTTCCTAACCCTGAGTCTGACCTTGCTCGTGCTTCCAGTCCTACTGTCTCTCGTCTCCTCGCTACTGTCGTCACTGACCCTGACTTTGAGTCTACTACTGCGTTTGCCCTAGTCACTGAGCTAGTCGACTTTGCAACTAGGAGTCGTCTCGACTACGTCGCGAGTCTTGTTACTGAGTCTGACTTTGACTGTCCTCCATTCGTCGGGGGTGAGCCTGCCCTTGGCAGTGACGTCCTTGAGGACAGGCAGTTTCAGCTTGAGTGTCTTGCGACCGCTTTACCTCGTTTCGCATCCATGGTACTTTGCCCTGAGGGAGACCCGGATGCACTGGACATCCTGACCCCGCGCTCTTACGCTGAGGCGATCGCGGGTGAGTACTCCTCTCAGTGGCAGACAGCCATGGATGCAAAGATGGCTTCCTGGAAGTCCACATGCACCTACGTCGACGAGGTTCCTCCTTCTGGGGCGAACATAGCCGATGCCATGTGGATGTTCAGAGTGATTCGGCCGCCGTGTTCTCCGCCTGCCTTCAAGGCGCGTTACGTTGCTCGAGGCTTCAATCAGCGACTGGGGGTCGACTTCTTCCAGACCTTCTCCCCCACCCCAAAGATGACTACTCTTCAGGTATTGCTACACGTTGCAGCACAACATGACTACGAGCTGCACTCCCTCGACTTCTCGACAACTTTCTTGCAGGGCAGCCTTCACGAGGAGATCTGGTTGCGCCGCCCACTTGGCTTCACTGGGTCGTTTCCTGCGGGTACCCAGTGGAGCCTCCGGCGACCAGTCTACGGTCTTCGCCAGGCGCCCCGCGAGTAGCACGACACACTGAGGACTACATTTGCGGCTCTTGGGTTCGCTCCTTCCTCTGCTGGCCCGTCGATGTTTCTATGCACCAACACTATCCTGCCGCCGTTCTACATTCTCATGTATGTCGACGACTTGGTTTTTGCTACTGCTGACACTGAGGCGCTGGCCCTAGTGAAGGCGGAGCTGCAGGAGAGACACACCTGCACTGATCTAGGTAAGCTGCGTAGCTATCTTGGCTTGCAGATCATCCGGGACAGAGCACGGCGCACCATCACCCTGACTCAGTCACACATAATGCACCAGGTCCTTCAGCGCTTCGGCTTCCAGTACTCCTCGCCACAGCCCACTCCTCTGTCTATTAGCCACTCGCTCCCAGCTCCACCTTCAAACGAGTCCGTAGAGCCGAGTGGTCCGTACCCAGAGCTTATGGGTTGCCTCACGTACCTGATGACGTGCTCACGACCTGACCTCGCGTACCCTCTCAGCTTCCTGGCTTGCTACGTGGCTCTCGGTAGACACCGAAAGGAGCACTTTGATGTTGCGAAGAGGGTATTGCGTTGCTTGTGCAGTACATCGGGCATGGGGATCGTGCTCGGAGGACGAGGTCCAGTGGTGCTTACAGGTCACTTCGACGCTTCTTGGGTCGACGACCAGGCGACTCAGCGTTCGTCACAGGGTTACACCTTTAGTCTTTACTCTGGTTCTGTCTCGTGGAGGTCCACTCGTTCTTCTTCTGTACTTGGTTCCAGCTGTGAGGCTGAGATCTACGCTGGGGCCATGGCTGCACAGGAGCTACGCTGGCTTGTCAGAGGTCCACTGGTGATCCCCGATTGATCCTAGGGAAGGGTTACAGGCACGGTTGCCTGGGGGGTTATGGGCACACTGACCCGCTACTTAAACAAGCCCTTTTATCCCAATGGTCTAGTGGTTGGGATTCTGACATGGTATCAGAGCGAAGGTCTCGGGTTCGAATCCCGGTGTATGCACTTCGGGCATCCCAGTGCGGGGGGGTGTCAGAGGTTCACTGGTGATCCCCGATTGATCCTAGGGAAGGGTTACAAGCACGGTTGCCTGGGGGGTTATGGGCGCACTGACCCGCTACTTAAACAAGCCCTTTTATCCCAATGGTCTAGTGGTTGGGATTCTGACATGGCTGACCTACCTGCTGACCAAATTCTCCTCCAGTTCTGTACGTCGACAACAAGGCCATGCTTGTCTTGTATCGTGAGCAGAGAATGGAGCACAGAACGAAGCACATTGCTCTTCGCTACTTTCTTGCTCGAGAGCTGCAGCAGCGTGGTCAGCTTCGCCTTTCCTACGTGGCCTCTCGGGCCAGCACTGCTGATGTCTTCACCAAGGCTCTCAGGTCTGGTGATCTTCAACGTTTTTGCACCGCTCTTGGGCTTCTGCCCGTTCTACCTTACCTGCTTGTCTCTTGATCTTGCACTTGTTGCACACTGATATCTATATTTATACCTGCATGTTTCCTCTTGCTAGGTTGTGATCAGTGTACTGCCTTTGCTATTATAACTCTACATGTGAACACAGGCCTACGACAATTAGGGCAAAACAGGCTCTCAGATTCGTTTTTTGCCTGTCGGATTTATTAGACTAGTACAAAATTTAAGGCTGAAACCCTCAGAGACGGTATAAAAAAAAAAAAGCTGAAATTTCAGAGTGCCTTAGAAAAAAAGTCTGAAACATCAATGTATCTAATGTTTCATCAGAAATGTATTCAATGTTTCATCTGATATCGAAATGCTAGACTAGGGGGATTTTCGGGGAGAACATGCTCTGATCAGGCCTGTCGAAGTTCCTGGGGCCCATACTTGCGCTCCCCAGCTCCTCCCCATCTGACCTTGTTTTTGGTGTAGCTGAGTGTTTGGGCACCCTTAACGGTCACGGGCGCACCCCAAAGTGAAAACTTGAAATCCGGGCTTGTGAAGAGTTTGCACTTAGACGCTAAGGGAAAATTTGGGTGCTCGAAGCTGACTTAGACACTTTATAAACACAGGATTGGCTAGAAAATGCAAGGGAAAAAAACTACTCCTCGCGTGCAACCTAAGGAGGAGGGGGGGGGCACTTAGGCGCTAAAGGAAAATTCAGGTTCTCCAAGCTGACTTAGACACTTTATAAACACAGGATTGGCCAGAAAACGCTAATAGGAAAAATCCACTCCTCTCGTGCAACCTAAGGAAAAAGAGGGAGGGGGGGGGGGGGGGGGGGGGGGGGCAGAATTCGGGGGGGGGGGGGGGGGGGGGGGGTCTTACAACCAGAAACCCAAACTTTGAGACAGGGGAAGGCCTGGTTTGGGTACTTAACGCATCCGGGGAAGGGTCGAAACTGAGGGCACTTAGTGGCACGGGGTGCTCGTGCGAATCTAACACTTATGCAGTCAAGCTGGAACGAAAGTAACCCCGGAATGTTCAGGGCATTAAGGGCATATGCCCTTGAATCTACAGGCCTGGCTCTGATAGGGCGAATTCTGTGTCAAGGCGAATTTTGTGGTTGTGAAAGGGCGAATCTGCAATGTCAGGTGAAATTTCAAGGTGATTGGTCGAAAATTCCTTGTGCTCTGACGGCGCAAATCTGAATGTGTCAGGGCAATTTTGCTGTGATTGGGTCAAAATTCTGTGCTGTAAGGCGCAGATTGTTGTTTCAAGCCGATTTTGCATTGACTTTGGGAATCTGCTGTGACCCGTGAATTCCGAACCGAATCACCAGTCAAGAACGCAAGCTGAAAATGGAATTGGTACGCGTTTGTACTCTGAGTGATCAGAGTACACTCCCGGAAAACTCTGAAATGTCAGAGTTAGCTTTAGAAGTTCTCTTAAAATTACAGAGTTGGGGCCCTAAAATCTCTGATTTTAACAGAGCTCACTTGAAAAAAAATCTGAATTCTCAGATTTTTTCATGCAAATCAGACAAATTTCTCTTACTTCTGGGGGCATGGGGCAAAATATCCTGATTACCCTTATTTCGGGATGATGTTTTAAGTTTGCCCTGGAATTGCAGAATGACGCTAAAATTTACCTTGTGACGTTAGGATGATTCATGTGTTTTGCCCTGAAATTTCAGAATGGCAGTGAAATTTTGCCCTGAAGCGTTTAGGGTGAATGTAGAGGGATGCCCTGCCTTGTGGGAAGGAAGAAGGGGTGGAGGGGGGAGAGGAGGAGAGGGGAGGAAGAGGCTAGGGGGTGTGTGTTCTAGTTTGTCCTCACCCCTCCCCTCCAAAGTTTATGCTCAGCCAATAGAAGTGAAACCACTGAAGAACCTGCTCCTTTCGTGCCTTCCCTTCCACTTAGTGGTTGTATTTTTTTGCCCTGAAATATCATATACGAATTTCTGCTGGTGCCCTGAAATTTCAGGATGGCCAGGGAAATTTGCCCTGGAAAATTAAGGCATTTCGCAAAGTTTTTCAAAGTTGCCCTGAGGGCTCAGGGTGCCCTAAATCCTAACACAGGCCCTGTGTGAACTAGCATTGTGGCGCTTCCTTGTGCTCGACTTGTGTGGTGTCATTGAGATCCACCCTGAGCTGTGCTTTGCTTTGCTCGTTCTCTTGTTTAAGTGGTTTTGTGACCTGTCAGAAATTATTCTCTAGCCTATAGTGGGTTGCTCTATAGCGAGTACAACCCTGTTAGGGTTTGCTATATGTATCCAACTGCAGCTAGTGAAACCCCTCCCCTTCTCATTCCTCATTTCTTCTCATGCTATCAAAGCATCTACGCTCTGGCCTGTGGGCCCACCTAACCTGCTTCCGCTGTCTACTCTGTCTGCTGCACGCCCCGTGGCCTTGCCCCTCGCGCGACCCCTACCGGCCCCGTCGCCGCCCTTCTCGGCCCCTCGCGGCCCCTTC